ACCCAAATACATTGCATAAGCTTCACTTTAAGTTACACTTTCAGTCCCTTTACAGTCATAATATTCAAGGAATTGAGCACATGCTAAACCATGTAACCCTGCTCAGTAAATTTGTGAAAAGAAAAGAGAAAAAAGATTTATTCTTCTCTTGAGAATGTAAGGTTTTTAACGCCATCTGGTGTAAGAAGTGAAAACTTAATTTGGTCTAAAGTCGGGTCAATATTAAAAATATAATGTCTGTTGAACCAGTAAATGGGGAATTTAGGAAACTTCGCAACAAATTTAATGTAACAAGAGACCAGATTAAATGAAAAGCGAGACATAGTGATTTAACTACGTCTTCATAGTTCAACTACTTCTCCATATTCGACTTCGTCTACAATGTTCAACTACCTCTATATAGTTCAACTACCTCTACATAGTTCATCTAGTCTACATACTTAAACTACGTCTACATAGTTCAACTATGTCTACATAGCTAAACTTCGTTAACATAGTTCAACTACGTATACATAGTTCAACTACTTCTCCATATTGAACTTCGTCTACAAAGTTCAACTACCTCTACATAGTTCAACTAGTCTACATACTTAAACTACGTCTACATAGTTCAACTATGTCTACATAGCTAAACTTTGTCTTCATAGTTCAACTACGTCTACATAGTTCAACTACGTCTACATAGTTCAACAACGTCTACATAGTTCAACTATGTCTACATAGTTCAACTACGTATACATAGTTCAACTACGTTTCCATAGTTCAACTACGTCTACATAGTTCAACTATGTCTACAAAGCTAAACTTTGTCTACATAGTTCAATTACGTCTACATAGTTCAACTACGTATACATTGTTCAACTACGTCTACATAGTTCAACTACGTCTACATAGTTCAACTACGTCTCCATAGTTCATCTATGTCTACATAGTTCAACTACGTCTCCATAGTTCAACTGTACGTCTCCATAGTTAAACTACGTCTACATAGTTCATCTATGTCTACATAGTTCAACTACCTCTACATAGTTCAACTACGTTTACAAAGTTCAACTACCTCTACATAGTTCAACTGTACGTCTGCATAGTTCAACTACGTCTACATAGTTCATCTATGTCTACATAGTTCAACTACATCTACAAAGTTCAACTGTACGTCTCCATAGTTCAACTACGTTTACATAGTTCATCTATGTCTACATAGTTCAACTACCTCTATATAGTTCAACTGTACGTCTGCATAGTTCAACTACGTCTACATAGTTCATCTATGTCTACATAGTTCAACTACCTCTACATAGTTCAACTAGGTCTACATATCTCAATTTCATTTTATTCGATCCCCGATATTTTCAACTTTGAACTCTACTGGTCCTGGATCAATTTGTAGAAAGGAATTGAGTTCTTGCCCCAAATTAAAATTTTCAAATCCATAGATCTTTGAAGCCTGTGCAAATCTTAAATGAATTCAAAAAATCAGTTTTTTCGCATTCTCAAAGAGCTTCAAAATCAAGTTGCAGATATATGGGCTTAAAAATTAGAGTTTGTGACAATTATTCAATTCCAGATAATTTCCTGTCTAAACGATATTAAAAGCCAGGAATTCAAAATTTAAAAATCATGAAGCATAAATATATTTTAGGTGGAGAAGAGAAAGAATATTAAATAAAACAACTGCAACATTGATCGAAAATGAAATATTTGAATATGCCAGGTGAGAAAATGAAATATTTGAATATGCCAGGTGAGAAAATGAAATATTTGAATATGCCAGGTGAGAAAATGAAATATTTGAATTTGCCAGTGAGAAAATGAAATATTCGAATATGCCAGGTTAGAAAATGAAATATTTGAATATGCCAGTTAAGAAAATGAAATATTTGAATATGCCAGTTTAAAAAAGTTACGTTTTTTCTTACACAAAAAAAATAGGTCAGATTAAGAAAATGCAAGCAACAAAAATAAGTGATTTAACGAGATAAAAAACTCTGTGCTGAAAAAGGTGCACTGTATTTCACCTGATATTAAAATGTAGTTTAAAGGGAGTGTTCGCGAAAAATTAAAGTGGGTATAGGCTTAATGCGATAAAAAAGCGACTTTGATCGCTACTAATCTTACTTCTATCTGTTGCGTCTATAAGGAGAAAATTGTTAAAAACGACTCACACCGAAGAACGCAGCGCCCATACAAATTCGGAAAGATGCAACATTCAACTCGGATCGTAAACAAATCAATTTAATTCCAAACAAATCATTCAGATATTACAAACAATAGTCATCGATTATTTTTCGACGCATTCTTATCGTATATAATAGTTAATATTTCATTTTTTTCTCATTATCTGAGAGTTACTTTTGAAAACATTTATTCCTGTTTCGAGGATTTTTGATAATGAAGACGACGTTTTCATATTTTCCAGGAATGTTCGAAAATTCAGCGCCAGAGAAAATTATTTAAAAAAACAAAATCAAAAAAATTATGAAATATTAACTATATACGAATGCGTCGAAAAATAATCGATGACTACTGTTTGCAATATCTGAATGATGTGTTTGGAATTTCGCAAATACTCCCTTTAACTTCCTTGCAGAATCATCTATTTCTTTACAAGGAAGTTTATTTTTTACACAAACAGTACCTGATATACATGAACTAAGGTTTTTTGGTAGTAGGACCATTTGACAGTGTATCATGAACATACTGTTAAATTTTACCTAACTGTCTGCTGCTACCTGAGAACTGAACTTTTCCTTCCTTGTTTAAGAATATATTAAGCACCGTACAGCATGTAGAATATTGTGTACTGTATTTAAACAATAAACATTCGCTGCACTTCCTTGTATAAGAATATATTAAGCACCGTATACAGCATGTAAAATATTGTGTACTGCATTTAAACAATAAACATTCTCTGCACTTCCTTGTACAAGAATATATTAAGCACCGTATACAGCATGTAAAATATTGTGTACTGCATTTAAACAATAAACATTCTCTGCACTTCTTTGTATAAGAATATATTAAGCACCGTATACAGCATGTAAAATATTGTGTACTGTATTTAAACAATAAACCATCTTTTATTTTATTTCAGAAGTAATCTGGCGATAATAAATATCTTTATCAAAGAACCATATTCTAAGCGATTCAGGTAATTCAGCATAGCCTGTAATAAATATCTTTATCAAAGTTAATCACGCTAAGCGATTCAGGTAATTCTGAATAGCATTTAATCACGACCTAATTATTATTTAATCACGACCTAATTATTATTTAATCACGACCTAATTATTATTTAATCACGACCTAATTATTACTTAATCACGACCATATTATTATTTAATCACGACCTAATTATTTTTTAATCACTACCTAATTATTATTCAATCACGACCTAATATTTACTTAATCACGACCTAATTATTATTTAATCACGGTCTAATTATCAAATTCAAATTGTTAAGAGTTTAGGCAAAATTTTAACATTGTTAAAACCATCAAGTTACTCCAAGAAAAGTGAAAATATAAACCTTAAAAAATATTTTGCTCTCAAAGATTTTTTGCAAAGATAAAATATAATTATCCATTTCTGAAAAACATGCATAAAAATGAATAGATGAGATAAAAATGAATACATGATTATCTATAAGGAAATTATTGTTTTAATTAGTAAATTTTTATTAATTAGTAAACTATTGTATTAATTAGGAAATTATTGCACTACTTAGGAAATTATTGCACTAATTAGTAAATTATTGTATTAATTAGGAAATTATTGCACTAATTAGTAAATTATTGTATTAATTAGTCAATTATTATATTAATTCGGAAATTATTGGATTAATTTGTAAATTATTGTATTAATTAGAAAACTATTGCATTTATTAATAAATAATTCTAATAATTATTGTCTCAATCAGGAAATGATTGCAATAATTAGTGAATTATTGTATTAACTAAGAAATTATTGTATTAATTAGGAAATTATTGTATTATTTGAAAATTATTGTATTAATTAGGAAGTTATTGTATTAATTAAGTAATTATTGTATACAATAGTAAATTATTCTATTAATTAGTAAATTATTGTGTTAGCAAGTAAGTTATTGTATTAATTAGAAAATTATTGTATTAACTAGGAAATTATTGTTTTATTTTAAAATTATTGTATATATTAGGAAATTATTTGTACTAATTAGAAAATTATTGTATCTGTTCAGAAATTATTGTATTAATTAGGAAATTATTGTATTAACTAGGAAATTATTTTAGTAATTAGTAAATTATTGTATTTATTAGGAAGACTGAGAAGATGAGTAGAATAGCGTATATAGCCAGCTCAGGAGGTTTACTAGGTCAGGTTATGAATACAGATGCAACCATAAAACTGAAAATAGGAAGACGACAGTTGAGCAATAAAATGTGTAATCATCAATCAGACATAAATCCAGACTTATGTGAAAAGTTGCAAAGATTTTTTCAGACTGGGTCGAGTGTAAAGTGTTGCATCTCCTTGTTGTTTGATTTTTCCTCGATCAGAGCTCATGCTTAATTTTGCGTAGCCCTAGACATTTACATTTTAGAACTATAAAAGCACTTATTTTTAACTTTAGTTTTTAACAAGTAATTGTGCAAAATTCCTTTAAAAAATCCTGCTTGAGAGAACGCAACCTCTGGAAGTTTTGATGACTATGAACAGTTTATCCTGCAGTTAGATTGAAAATCAACCAATGATTAAAATGGAATTCTGTGCAAACGGTGTACACTGGATGCTATTGTTTCATATATTTATTATAGACTATTTAAAGGCATAAACTAAGTCTAACAGTCTTCTTTCTATTTTACAGTCTGATGGGTTTATCAATTTAGTTTTTAAAGATTCCAAGAATTTTAATGTGTGTTTTTTCAATTGAAAACTTTGCAATTGAAGGCTGAACTTAGATAACATCGTGTTTCTGTTTAACTCTAAACGAGCTGAGGGGGGGGGGGGAGCTTTTGACGTTTTTGCCCTAGCAATCTCATTTTTGACCCTATCCCGTGCGTTGTGAATTATGCATATAATTCTTCAAGTTGAGGATCACCAGGAAATACGTTAGCAGTCCCTTTAAAAATGATTATTTCAGGTCTGTGCATGGGATTCAGTTTTGTTAGTTTAGCGGAGATAATTTACCATTGTTTCATCTGTGTCTCTCTTTTCTTCAAGAAAATACAGATAGACAGACAAACAGACAGACGTTTACCAGCCAACAGATACAGATAAATCATCCACAGATTAAATGGCTATCGATAAATCGGCCACAGATTAATTGGTTATAGAGAAAATGGCCACATATTCATCGGCCGCATATTGATCAGACACATAAATATCAGCCACAGGTTAATAGACTTCATATTAATCCACATTATAGGCCACAGATAAATCAGCCACAGATACATAGGCTACAGATAAATCGGTCTCAGATAAATAGGCAACTGATATATCGGCCATAGATAAATCGGTCTCAGATAAATAGGCAACAGATAAATAGGCCTCATATATATCGGCCACAGATAAATCGGCCACAGATTTATCGGCCACAGATATATCGGCCCTCAGATATACCGGCCTCAGATACAAAGGCCACAGAGAAATAGGCCTCAGAAAAATCGGCCACCAATAAATAAGCCACAGATATATCAGCCACAGATAAATAGGCCACATAACCCCGGTTTGATTTCTCTATATATATTTTTCTAGAAAAAATAAAAAATAAAAAATTATAGATTTGTCCAATGTCCAGCAAATATGTCTTCTTCCCTCATTTATAATAATAAAACCTTCTCAGTATTTTTCCATTAAGAAAATCATATGTTGATAATTATTTGATAATGTATTTTGAACCCAGTCTATGTTAAAAACGCAAAAATTGGTCACAGATTTTTTTCTTTGGACCAGCCGTAGCGGTGTAACTTTTTTGACTTAAATTCAATTTATATATAAAATATATTCAATGATTTGGTCAGACAGGTTGTCATACATAGATACTCGCGAGTATTTAATTTGATTAGATTTTACTTTTTAGAAATATAAAAACGAAGCATAGATTTATGCTTGCATTTTTGTAGAGCAAAAAGATTTTTAAAATTCTAAAAATTTAAAAAAATTAAGACAGGGTCCGTCCGATTGCAACATTGAATAAAAAAACTATGAGGTTGAACAAGTAAAGAAGTTGAAAGAGTTTTAATGTTGTAATAATTTAGCACTGGATTTTTAAAACCGGGATGAGTAAAACCATGGCATAAAAAAGACGGAATGCGGATATTTTTTTAAAAATCACCCTTCAGCTTAAACTTTCTTCATTTTGTGAGTTATAAAATCTAAGAATTTTTTAAAGGGATTGACCGGCTATTTAAGGTAGTTGAAATGAGTATTTAGTGTTGTGGAAAACTTTTTTCGGATTCATTTGAGACATATTAAACTTTTTAAAGATCTGTAAATCCTGAGTTTGAGCGCAAATTCGACGTTCAAAGCGTTTTGAACGTCGAATTTGCGCTCAAACTCAGGATTTACAGATCTTTAAAAAGTTTAATATGTCTCAAATGAATCCGAAAGAAGTTTTCCACATCACTGCATACTCAGTTCAATTACCTTACATGGCCGGTCATTCCCTTTAATAGTTTAAAAAGATTTCTTTTTGAAAAGTGTCAGTTTTAGCATGCGGACCCTGTTTTTGAACTATTGGTTAATCCAATATTATTTATGCAGCAGAATTAATTGATTTCTCAGATAAAAAGAAATTTGTAAAAGGAATTGAGTTTTTGCCACAACCTCAAATTTTCTAATTTCTATATCTCTGCAACCAGTGGGTATAAACCTTTGATATTTCAAACTTAGATTATTTGATCTAACAAAATTTATAGTTTGAAATATCTAAGGTCTACGACATTGGGTTGCCAAGATATAGGGATAAGAATATTTGAGTTTGTGGCAAGCACTCAATTCCTTTACAACAAGTTTTCTGCATAAAATATAAAGGTTGTAATTGATATTTCTACTCACGAAAAATAGGATAAAAACTACGCGTCCAAAATATAAAAGGTTGAAACTAATTATTGCCAAAAAATGTTTTTTAAACATTTTTAATATTAAACTGTTAAATGCCGATTATGTGTTTTCAAAACTTAACAAATTTTACCTTCGATTTGATAAATAGATAAAAAAAAACATGTGAAAAATATATTAACATTATATTTAGTTGTAATGTGATAAATATGTAAATATGTATATAACAAAATAAATATGACATTTAACTATTTGCTTATGTTTCATGTTATTAAAGGGACTGTAAGTGTAATTTCAAGTCACCCTCCATGCAAAGATGACAATGCTTGATTCATAAATGAAACCTTTAGCTTAGCAATAACATGAAAGATATAGGTTATCATAGCTCTGATAATTCCGGTCAGTTTTCTTCCAGTTAAAGAGCGAAAATAACATTAGTAGAGAATTAATGATTGAAAAAAAAAACAGTTTATAAAAAGAAAAAGATTTTAATTGTAACTTTGCAACAAGAACACTTGAAATTATGCTTACATTGCAATAAGAACACTTGAAAGTACGCTTACAATGCAATAAGAACACTTGAACTTACGCTTACATTGCAACAAGAACACTTGAAAGTACGCTTACATTGCAACAATAACACTCGAAATTACGCTACATTGCAATAAGAACAGTTGAAATTACGCCTACATTGCAATAAGAACACTTGAAATTACGCTTCCATTGCAATAATAACAGTTAAAATTACGCTTACATTCAGTTCTCAAAAAAACTAACTTTCATGGATTTTTTTTGTTTAAAGGAATTAAGTCTATGATACCATAATACATTTTCTAATCCCTGTATCTTTGCAACCTAATGGTGCAAAGCTTTGATATTTCAAAGCTTTCAATATTTTAGGTCTACGACATTGGAATGCAAAGATATTGGAAATGGAACATTAGAGTTTGTGTTAAAGACTTAATTTATTTGTGAATTGTAAGATAATAAGTGTCGATTTTTCCGTATTTTTTTTTTATTTTAACCACAGACTGCTTATCTCCTTTCAAAGGGTGGGCTACGTAGGCCTAAGTTGACCCGGCACGACATGATACGTTTTTACGATAGGTTTTTAGAGTTCCATTTAACGACCACTTGTTGAACATAATGCTCATAATACAACTTTTAAAGAAATACTCCAATTTTAAACATGAAACATAACATTTATAAATTCAATCTTTTTTTTGAAGATTTTGCGTTTCGTATCCAAAGGATGTTTGCTTGTTGGTCGTGTACAGTCTTGACACAATAGAACATGCTGTGGAAAATATTGCATATTTTAGCTGATAATCGATCTATGTAACTCTCTTATCTCTGATTTTAACAACAAAATTGAACCCGCGACATGTGATGTGCAGCCGCTTCAACGTTAATCAAGTAAACATTAAACAAACAAACAGACAGACACCCAGCCGACCCAAAGGAATTGATTCTTTGCCACAAACTCTGAATTTATATCTTTAGAACCCAATGTCGTAAATCTTTGATATTTCTTAAATTATTTGATCTAACAGAATTCAAAGTTTGAAATATCTAAGGTCTACGACATCGGAATCCAAAGATATAGGGTTTAGAAAACCAGAGTGTTTGGCAAAGACTCAATTCCTTTAAATAAAGATGATGATAAATTCATATTTTTTTTTTTAAATATGAATTCACCAATATCTATATTCCATTTATTTTGCAAAATTTGCACAGCTGTCAATAATGGTAGTAGGATTAATCAATCGTAAACGATGTTAGACACTGTTGAATCTATTCAAGATATTGATTTCAAATATTAACTTTCAGAACGTTAAGTTTTATTTAACTATATCATTATCTTTTATAAGCCAATAAACTAACCAATATATCTACGACAAAAACCTGTCAACATTTATCAAGCTAAACTTGTTAAATTTTAACTTTTTATTTTAGTATAATTCGGAGATTGAAATATGAAAGTTAATAAGAATCAGATTACAAAGACACAAGGATTAGACAATTAAATTTACTTGCTAATAAACAGTTTCTATGTGTCCAAGGATACCGGATACGGTTAAAAAAAATTTGTCCAAGGATACCGGATACTGTTCACAAATTTGTCCAAGGATACCGGATGCTGTTCACAAATTTGTCCAAGGATGGATATTGTTCAAATATTTGTCCAAGGATACCGGATACTGTTCACGAATTTGTCCAAGGATACCGGATGCTGTTCACAAATTTGTCCAAGGATACAGGATATTGTTCACAAACTTGTCCAATGTTATCAGATACAGGCTTCACCAATTAGTCCCATGGTGGCCAAGGACTCCAACGAGGTGTACAACGGGGTTTGACTCCATTTAAAGGAACATACATAGTTATGCATCTCAGCAACCTGCCTAAATACGTAGATACACATCTGAGCATGCTGCTTAAAATTCATATTTATACATCTTAGCATGTTGTCTCAGCATGCACCTTAAATACATACTTATACATATCAGCATGCATGCAAGGAATGCATGGAATTTGTGATACCAAAAATTAAGATCTTCGAAATATATCTCTTGGTCTTCACTTTTGTATTTTGACAGATTTAAAAGTGGTTGAGAACTAGCATAGTTTTAAAGATATTAAGAGAAGCGTATTCAGGTTTTTTTCCCCAGAAATACGCCTCTGGATAATAACATAGATGTGTTTAAGAAATGGACAAACATATTTCGGAATGGAGTGAGATTTGAAAGAACAAAACTAAGCAGTTTTAAAGATAAATTCTTTTTGAATTAGAAGTGCCAGGCAAAATCAATGAGTTGAAGCGACTTTATAGTATTTACGTATAAAATACATACAAACATACAAAAATGTTTGATTTTTAATTGTGAAAATTTTGAAGTTTTAACTAAAGTCGACATTTATATGAGTCTTTAGTCTATTTTTGTCTAGTCTTTGCTTTCCAAAAGAAATCTTTTCATGCAATTATTTCCAAACGAAATAAAACCTTATGGTCCAACCTATCGTCGTTGCCTTAGTCTGTTCCACTTTAGTATTTATTCACTTTGCCATTAAAATACATATATTCATGCATCTCCGAAGTTTGCCTGATTTACATGCTTAAACTCTTTATCATCTACCTGAAATACCTAAATAAATAGCTTTGCATGCCACCTGAAAAAAAAATAAGTAAACATAGCTGTGCATGATGCCCGAAATACACAGATAAACATATAAACATGCGGCATGAAATACTTATTTATACATATGATCCAACTTATGTTCTCTGTGTTGGCATTTCTTAACGGAACAATATTTCTCCACGTTGGCGACTAATCATCCGCCCAAGCTTTTGTCCGACCTATAGCATATGTACAAAAGAGCTAATAAGTTGCTTGCAATCCGAGCTTAGCTCCGGGTCCGTATGAGGAATGAAGGGGGTTACATCAATGGAACTGTCCCTATTCCGAGCTCTTTCTCAGGGTGTGC